CCGTGATTCACCATAATGCGCAGGCTGCCTGACTGCCATGCATGGGTTGGCACACGGCGTTTCAGCCAGTGCTGCAGCGGGCGCATGCGCAGTAATCCCATGTGGAGTACTGATGATGCGGCTGCCATTAGACCAAGCAGTTTCTGAAACCTCTTCAGAGGCGCGCGCTCGGGGTGTATTGATATGCCCTCCCCTCGAAGGCGAATCTCAAGAATGGCCTATCTTAATATGAAAGTATGCATCTTTCAGATCCATTGAAACAAACCAATCCCCCGGGCGAACTTGCGCGAGAATTTGTTTGAGTGTTAACATTCTGAAAGGCCGTCTCATGAGAGCCCTGTTCAAACGCCTCAGATCTAGTATGGGTCTGAGCCCGCCGTCTTTCTTTGGAATTAGAAAATAGCGGCTGTAAAACCCTGAATACATTAGCGTGGGAGGGACTGACTCTATCGCTCCTTTTGCTAATAATTCCTGAACTTCGGTGCGAAGCACGTGATCCACGCCGCTTCTCACCGATGTCTCGATGAATGCCTGGAATTTCGGGGGTCTGCGAGCGAATTGGAGCGAGTAGCCTTGCTTTATATTGTTTATGACCCAACTCGACACACCAGGGATGGCTTGCCAGGCCATCACCCGTGTGGCTAGGGCGTGACACACTGAATGGGGGGGACCGCCTAACATAGGGGGACCTGATACCCTTATAATGTGATTTGTGCACATACTGAGTGTTTGACTGACTATATAGGCTTTTGCCCGGGGGGAAGTCAGTGTTACAACAGGGCGGGGGCCGCCTAGTGAAGGGGGACCGTGAACCTGTGTGTTGTGATTGTGAAACATGCTCTTTTTGTGCTTTATTTGGGTCGCCGTGAAAACGGCGTTTGTTTGCAAAGACGGGCTCACTGCTGCGGGCCTGTTTACAATAATAAAATCCCCAGCTGCCTGAACTGAACAGGGAGCTGTGGGAAGTTTTGCTGGTTTTTTCGAGGGTGGTCCGGCTAGCGCGAGACACGAGCCCTCTCTCTTTCCCCTCCGTGCTAGGACGACTTCGGAGGCACCTGGTCGGCCACGGCGCTGGGTCGAGGGCCTTGACGCCTGGGGAGCGGGTAGTGCTTCGCGGGCCTTGACTGGCGTTGGCTATCAGCCTTAGGGCGGGGCTGAGAGGCCTGTTTCACCGGCTTGGCTGGATGAGGCGAAGGCGATTGGGCTTGCTGGTCGCGGAGCTCGAACGTTTCGGCAAGAAGTGTCGCATGGCCTGGGACGCTTTCTGTGCCTCTGTGTACCTTTCCGAGAATCCCTTCACCGCTGAGTATGGAGCGCGCCAGGCCTTGGTTAGCTCCTCGTGGACCTCGGGGAAAAATGGCGCCGGTTTGTGACGCGGGGCCTGCTGGCGCCCCTCCAGAAACCATCCATCCAGCCGACTACGAGGCGGCTCCTCGGGCGAGGCCCGCTCGAGGTCCGCGACGCCTTCGTCAGGATTCGAAGCATTTCGGCGTCGGAGTTCGTCCTGGTCGCTAATCCACTGGCCACCGATTGAGAAGCGGTGACGGGGTCGAGAGAGCCCGGCCACTCGTCCTCAGAAGCGGCGATGGATAGGCTGTCGTCGCGCTCGAGAGATCCGCCAAGGAGACGAGGCCCGCCACGTGTGGGTGGGGGGGTGGGGGTGGTGGGGGGGGGGCGCTGGTCTCCTGCGAACAGGACCGGTGATGGCGTTTGAGTCGGAGAAAGTGAAGCACGCGGGGACGTGGCCGGCGTGCGTTCACAAATCTCCATACCTTCCGGTTGCCGTTGGCTGCGACGCTTCTTCTTCCTCAGAATGGAAAGCGTGGTTGAAGCGGCATCACCGTCCCGAGAGAGAGCTAGCCGATTGCGCAGCACGGAGATAGGCATGCTGTCGCAGGCCGCACATCCGCCGGCAGAGAGAGCATTCTCTGCGTGGTCGACACCCAGGCAGGAAATGCAGCTCGTGTGCTGGTCTGCCTCGTGCAGACGGCCTCCGCACGTGGCGCTGGATGAACGAGGCAAACTGAAAAGAACACAATATAATTTTGCAAAGGATATAGGATGTCGCCGGATAGCCACAGGTGAGACGGCGTCAGGAGACAATCGACGTGCAGGCGAAGTCTGCTGAAGAGAAGCTCGCTCAGGCTGAAAGGCTTGTTCGACGGCGAATACACAGTAAAAAGCTCAGGGACATGTGTACTGTCGCTGAAGGAGTAAAATCTGCTATAATGGCGAATTGGGGGGTCTATATAGGCTGGGCCACGCCCCCTCGGCGGGCTCTGACGTTGGGCTAGCTCATTGGTCGCGCGTCAGAGTCGCCCGCGCCATTGGATGTGCAGTTGCTGCAGCACAGCCTATGAGCGTGTCAGACGCTCAGTGTGCTAGCTGTGCAGCTGCAAATGCGTTTTACATATAGGCTTCAGTGAATCGAGGAAAAGGAGTTTCCCCCACTGCGTATAGCTACGCAATACGAAGTGACCGTTCGAAAGGGAACGGTAAATATATCGGTAAAAGAAGCACACACTGAAGATGTTTAGATGTGGTTTAAAAATAAACTTTCTGACATAAACACTCTGTCAGCTAAACATTAAGCCATGCACAAATAAAAATGTCACTGAACTTTTGTGTAATTGTAACAATGAGCACTCAAAGACACCAAACAAACAATTACTAAAAACCCTTATAAATTGTCACCATATCACCATTATAAAATGTTATGCAACCATGTAGTTAAATTTTCCATATTTATTGTATGTCATTATGTCAGTATCAGTATTTGCTTTCAACCATGCAGAAATAAAAATGTCACTGAGTGATCATTGTTACAATTACACAGCAAAAGTTCAAACGCACCAAACCAACAATTACTAAAAGCACACACAAAAACAGATTTTGCACGGGCATTGCACTAGTGGCAGTTCATTACACAACAAGTGTTCACCATTGTAACGTTTTTAGCTGTATAATACACACTATAGCATCTACTTCCAATACAACACCATATCCACTTCAGCTTCTGTGTCCAAAAGTCCCAACATGCATAGCGTTGCTGATGTCTCTCAGTCCCATTCCCTAGCCTATATAATCATCTGATAAAAAAAAAGCAAAAAAAGATTTAAATAAAAAAATAAAAAAAAGAGACTTTTTTAACACAATATATGATATTATTTCCTCACATACATACATCTGTCTCTCTCTCAGCAAAGTACTCAAAGAAATGAATGTGTTGTACATCAGTCTGGATGTGGAAATGGATGTGATGTGAAGGTTTTCAAAAATAGTAATGAATGTATTTGGATGGATCATTGTGATCTGTCTTTGTTTCAGCTAACCCTGCTGTAACCCACATCCAACAGGTCCTACGGTGTTGTTATGCTTAGGGATTATTATTCTCAAGATGGGCAGAAACTGTGTGTGTGTGTGGAGAAGCATGTCTGATAGATGCTGCTGTCTCTGCCCGTGTGACAACATCCCCACTGTTACACATCTGCTTCAATTTCATCCCCACAGAAGAGTTTCATCCACAATGAGTAAATTCTTGGTGCTTCAGTTCAGTGTGTGTTGTTACTTTTAGTTGTTATCTTCCCAGATGGCAGCAGTGTGGTGCTTCTGAGACAATTTTGGTTGTTTGCAGTAACCGCTTTTTATTGTTGTGCTTTGCCTGTTACAACCCTATAGTTTTGTCTCTGTTTTGCTTTATTTCTGAGTTGTTTTGGGAGTGTGTGCGTGTGTGTGTGTCTAGGAAATAACATCTCCTGCAGGCTGAGAATGTTTGAATTTAGAATTGTCTTTTGCCTGTTTACTGACTCCAATTTTTGGATTGCCTTGTTGACTTGTACTTGTCAAATAAATGTAAAAAAAATATTGTAACTAATAAACAGGGAAAAGCAAGAACTGATAAGAATGTAAATGTGTACCTTTCAATGCAATGAAAGTCGCTTTGGATAAAAGCGTCTGCCATATGCATAAATGTAAATGTAAATATTGGGAAAGTAAGGAGTCTGAGGCAATTCTTATTTACTGTAAAGGAATAGGACAAAAAACTACAAAAGAACAAAGACAAATGAAATAGATTCAACTTCAAGCACTAGAAACAAGATCTAAATTATATAAAGCAATCTAATGTACAAAAAAAAAACCACTGCATAGTCTTCATTGAAAAAAATTAATATTAAAGTTACAAAAGTGATTCGGTCAAGAGCAGTTAGAGAGTTTCTCTCCTGTTGTTTGATTAACATTAATGACACAAACAGCACAGGTATATTAGGCTGTGTCACTTTAAGACCGAATGCACTGATCTAATTTACTGATACACATGTACTGTTTATATTCCAATAAGACATAAACGACTGTTTATGAGGATACTCGCAAAGATGGGCATTTGGACACATACGTTTTTGTATCAGTTCAAACCCAATAAGGCGCCAACCAGAACTCATTTCAGCACTCTTTATGTGCATTATGTGCCTGGGTTACAGGTGTGTGTGCTCAGAAACCATCTCTCAGGCATCTCTCAGAGTGCATATACCCAATGAGTTCGCTTTCACTGCTTATTGCATGTGTGAGGATTCAAATCACTTGTTTTTAAACAGCAAGGCTTTAAAGCACATGCAAAAAAGACATTTTCGTGATGGCACAGCACAACATCAAGTGAGTGCGATGGAGACGATAATCAAACATGTCTACCGTTTAACAAATGTCTACTGGTTTACCGAGTCTTTAGTAATGCTATTCAAGGCAAGCAACTGAAATGGTACATATTATCACAGTTCAGGCCCACATAATTACTTAAGCTTTTTTTTTCACTTAGCGAATGATAAAATAGAACTGCACTAAAGTAGAAAACCTCTTGTTTTTTGTTTTTCTTGTTTCAAACTTTGTTTGAAATGAACATATTCTAGATCAACATAGCAATTCATTGCATGTATTTAGATGAACTTTTGAATACAGTTGTGAGCCTGATGATCTGAGAAGCATGTGTGTGTGTGTTGGGTTCTCAGACCTGTCGAGCGGGGCAGTGGAGAGCGGCTCTCGTGGCATGACTACTACAAACAAGGGAAACAAAGCACTCAAGGTACTGTATGTTCAGATGAGCTTTCAAATGCAAGTGTCTCCGGTAACACTTTACTTGAAGGGGTGTGCTTCATAATCATGACAGGACACATGTCATAAACATGCATAAAATCTCCTTCATATTCATGACAACTGTCATTAAGTGTCATTCCCTCAATTATGACATTTTTAATGCAAATATGAAATAGTTTGAGATGTCTTTGTCATGACAACTTGACATAAACCAATACATCATAACCTGTCAGTGTCTTTGTCATGACAACTTGACATTACTAAGACAACACAACCTGTCATAAATATGTCATAAACATGACATAGCAGATTAATTATCAAACTTAAGAAAGCACTTAGCTTTATGGGTTAAAATTACATTAAACTGTCATGTGGTTGGTTTTGACATTGGCTGTCATGAGGCCATTATAACATTTTAATGATAAATTCAATGTGTACCACTGTAGTTGAGGTCAAGAAAAATATTCATGACACAGTTATAATGGCCTCATGACAGCCAATGTCAAAACCAGCCGCCTGACAGTTTAATGTAATGTTAACCCATAAAGCTAAGTGCTTTCTTAAGTTTGATAATGAATCTGCTATGTCATGTTTATGACATATTTATGACAATATGTGTTGTCTTGGTAATGTCAACTTGTCATGACAAAGACACTGACAGGTTATGATGTATTGGTTTATGTCAAGGTGTCATAACAAAGACATCTCAAACAATGTCCTATTTGCATTAAAAATGTCATAATTGAGCGAATGACACTTAATGACAGTTGTCATAAACATGCATAAAAGCTGCTTCATATTCATGACGTGTGTCATGTCATGATTATGAAGGTGTCATGTCAGTCTTATGCACACCCCTTCAAGTAAAGTGTTACCAAACATTCTATTGACTATAAGTAGAGTCGCACCTACATGTCTACTAACTCTTATTAGAGTATTAGTAGGGTTAGGGTTAGAATAAGTTGACATGTAGTTGCAAAGTCACTTATAGTCAGTATAATGTCTGTTGGAGGAGCAGCACAATAAAGAGTTAGCAGATATTAAGCAGACAGTCTACTAATGCTCTAATGAGAGTTAGTTGACATGTAGTTGCAAAGCATTAGTAGACTCTCTGCTTAATATCTGCTAACTCTTTATTGTGCTGCTCCTCCAACAGACATTATACTGACTATAAGACATGCAACTAACTTTGCAATCTCTGTTACTTTAATGACTTATTATCACTGTAAAGCTGCTTTGAATCAATCTATATAGTTGAAAGCGCTGTATAAATGAAGGTGGCTTGGCTTGATCTGCAGGTGAAGCGAGAGCCAGGTGAGAATGGCACGAGTCTTACGGATGATGAACTGGTGTCCATGTCTGTGCGAGAGCTGAATCAGCACTTGCGTGGCCTGACCAAAGATGAAATCCTGCAGCTGAAACAGCGTCGACGCACGCTCAAGAACCGAGGCTACGCCGCCAGCTGTCGAGTGAAGCGCGTGACGCAGAAGGAGGAGCTGGAGAAGCAGAAGATCGAGCTCCAGCACGAGGTGGAGAAGCTGGTCTCGGAGAACGCCAGCATTAAAGCTGAGCTCGAGCTGCTGCGCTCCAAATATGAGGCTCTCCAGAGCTTCGCCAGGACTGTGGCCCACAGGGGTCCCGTCACTAAAGTGGCCACCACCAGCGTCATCACCATCGTCAAGTCCAAAACACAAGCACGCTCTTAATGCCCTGACCCGGGGCAGTTCTGCAAGTGTATCCATCAGGCACAGGTTTACTCACGCTAAAGTCTGTTCAGAAATCTACATACTAGTGTAAACCAAATCTCTCAGAAAAAGATAAAGCACTTATCATTTCTATTTAGAGATTAATCTGTCAACCGCAACCCTTGTTTTGTCAAATTTATGTCAACTTTTCATTAATCAGATAATGATACTCGCGCTAAAACATTCAGAAATCTACTCTTTGATTATAAAAGTGTAAACAGACAACACTAAAATCTCTCAGAAAAAGATAAAGGACGTATCTTTTTTTTTTCTTTTTTTTTGAGATTCAATTTGTATCAATATTTCATTCATTAGAATATTACACAGACTTGAGCTTAACCCAAAAATTATTTTAAAGTTGTTTTTAGTCACCGTTGTTTGGTACTAAACCTGTGTTACTTGGTCCATAGAACACAAAAGGAGAGCTTTTATGTGCTGGTTTATTTTTCCATACAGAGAAAGCATACAGTTGACCAATCACTTCAATCACAGCCTGTGACTGAAGACACACACGGCTGATACCGTTCGTCACTGACATCAGACCTGACGAGGAACATCTAGGCCCACCGAAGTCAAAGATGTGCATTAGAGATCTTCCCGGGTCCCTGATATAATGGTAAAGCGCTGTGGCTGTACAGTAGTACATATGAAAGCCTCGTTCATTCATTCATGATTTGTAGCCGGCATGGATCGACCAGAATCACTTCCTACCCAAACACGACACGCATAAATGCATTTAAAAATAAAATAAAAACCTATCCAGAGCCAGTCCCCATAGTAATAGCCCCAAGGCTTCGCATGCTTGCATCCCTGTACGCCAGTGGCTAGTGGTGACTTCATCTTTGACAGGTTGAAAGTGAAGAAACACTCGTAGCTTTTAAAGTATGCCCATCTCTTCTCAACTTATTTGTAGCTGAATTAATTCTCCAATCATCTGTGCAACATTTACATAAGCCATGTTCCCAGATTATGTAGCCTATACTTCAAAAATGTGCAGAATATGTTTTTTCGGGATTTCACATATTGTTTTTGTTTGAAGAAAAACAAGAAATTATACAGTTATGGCTTAATTGTTTGCGATCAGTTTGGCATCGCCTGCATTTAGATGATTACAAAAAAACAATACCTGGCAACAGTTTATCGCTTGAGTACCTTGCTTGGGCCAGCAAGTAGATAAACCGCCATATTGCACATGATATTACAATATTAATGTTAATATTAATAATAGGCATTTACACAGAAGAACAGATTGACAGAGTAACATAGAATTTTTTAATATGTATTTCTTTTAAATAATAAAATATTGTTAAGCGCACAAAACTAATAATGGAAATTTGGCACATTTTACAAGAATTTTAGTCTTCTCTGGTCTATTCGGGTAAAGCACATTTATTTAAAGTGACCTGAGACCGGGGCAGCTAAGATCAGACCTGACCCGTGTCCGAGGCTCTCGTCAGAGTTTCGGACTCAAACCCGCTGGAGTCTCGGGTCGCACCTCGGGTTTTCCAGTCGAAGTGGACCCGTGAAGACCTCTAATGTGCAAGCGCTGATGGAGTATTTAATGAATAACCACTTGAATTTGGGTGTGTTCCTGATGGAAAACTATCATATGGATTGTCAGAACTAGTAGATGGATGTAATGCAGAAGTCATATCCTTTCATGGTACTTTTTTAATCCTTTTAGGGCTATGTGAGATATGGTAACTATATGATTTCACCGTATGGAAAAGGACATTCTGCGAAAACTCTTAAGTTTTAAGTTTTTGTGTCCACTTAAGATCCAACTTGAGTCGCCTGTGCTTGTTATTGTTCACTGACTGATATACTGATGGGATAAAAGTATTTACTGTTCTATCAGAAATGGTATAAGAAGTAAGGATCTTGTAATTCACAAAGCAAGAAACAATTATTTTCAGTTATTAAATTTCTTTCCTGTTGAGTTCAATTCCATTAGTGGAATGATGTTTACAAGTTATATTCTGAGGAATATGAGCAGGAGAGGCAATAAACTACAGTATTTATGCATGGGAGAGCAGTTGAACTGTCTGGCAGGTGACGTTCATCTTTTGCAGACATGACTTATGAGAAAAAGCCTTTACTCAAAAACATCGCAGAGATGAGGCATTTATTTGCTGTTAGTTGGTGAACCGTGTTGGTGAAGTGTTGATCATAGCTTTGTTCAGTCGTAGAGCTGTAGTTTTGTTGTTCTGTGCTTTGTATGGATGGGCTGGTAGCATTTAATTTCCAGAAACAACTTAACACAGGCTTTATTGTTGAATCGTTAGCAAATGGTCTCTGATGTCTTACTTCAACTAAAAAACGTTGTTGTTTTTCTTTCCGGAAAACGAAAACAGAAAAAAAAAACTGTTATTTATATGGAAAAAAAAATAGTTTGATATAAATTTTGCAATTGTACCAAAAGTGGCTTATTATTGAAGTCTGATTGCTTTTCTAGTAAATAGACACGTGCAATGGGGCGTGCTGTGTGTGTATGTGGTCAGGTGACAGTGTTGTTCACTGTGTAAGTGTCCTGCTGTATTCTTTAAGTGAATATTATGACGTAATATAGACCGTGTACATTCATATTGGCTCCTTCCATATCTCAGAACATGTAGGTTTTGTTGAATGATAAAAACTTACTGCAGCTGACTGTAACACACCCAGTGTGACGCTTTGTAACGTTCTCTTCCAGCACGGGGTTTGGAAAAACACAATTTATCCATGTTTTCGGACAACATTTGAACAAGAATAGCAAGAGCTAAGTTTAAATCCTCTGCAAAGCGATGAAGATGTGGATCTGTTGCAAAACCTAGTGAACTGAGCAGCATTGTAACACTGTGTCTACACGCGATGCTTGAATAGAAAGGGGCGTAGGTTTACTTGAACAGAAAGAGGCGTACGTTTACTGTTCGGAAACTTGTCGTGTCGCACCGCATCCGGTGTAGACAGCATGACCGATTATAATGGGTTTCTGTCTGGTTTGTCGTGTCGCACCGCATCCGGTGTAGACAGCATGACCGATTATAATGGGTTTCTGTCTGATTTCATCGGTGTAGATGGTGTCTATAACCGATGCTGTCCGGTGTAGACAGCATCACCGATTATAATAGGTTTCTGTCTGGTTTGACGTTTCGCACGGCATCCGGTGTAGACAGCATCACTGATTTTAATGGGTTTCTGTCTGGTTGTTCGAGTCGCACTGCATCCGGTGTAGACAGCATCACCGATTAAAATGGGTTTCTGTCTGGTTTCCGCGCCCTCAACATGAAAAAACACCAAATAAAGAAGCATTGCATGTATCCTTCACGGACAATTAACAAGCTGATTGAAAAATAAAAGAATCTATCCATCCATTCTCCAAATTGCTCGTCCTATGTAAGGTCGCAGGGATGCCGGAGCCTTTCCCATCATCTTGGTCTGTAAAGGCAGGGAAAAATACACCTTAAATGTCAGTTGAGGGACATATACAGAAGACAAAATTACAGTAGGGTGGGACTTTTATCTATTGGGAGTTGATTTGATTGGGGAGGGATTGAAAAGGAAAGATGAACAGGAAAAGTGGATAGTTTTTACATTATGGTAACTAATCATTGCTGAAATGTCTCATTGTTTTATGCAATATTTGTTTGTGGTATTTATTTATTTTTTGTTGTTATTTTCCTTATTAGAAGTATTGTTGTGTTAGCTTAGCAACATGCTAACATCAAACTCTATTGAATTTGCCTGAGTAAAGTGTTTCACTTCAGCACAGGTCAGTTCAAGGCTGCGTTTCAGATCTAGGGTTTGGAACAGAGCTATAATATTTCAAACATTATGTGATTGTCAACCCTGTCTTGCTCATGTTCTGGATCTGATGGACAAATGTTGACTCAGAACAGAACTACTGAATGCACAGGCGTTTGAAATGCACTAATGAAATGGGCTTATTTTGAGATGCTCTTCCCTGTTGTTTTCTCAGGACAAATGTTCAGTGTGATTTACACACACAAAAATCACCAGAAGTTCTTCGACGTATAGCCCTGATGTAGGCAAATTGTTAAAACCCTGAGAACTTTCAGATCATTGACTGCAGTTGATTTAAAGTGATCGTTTACCCACAAATGAAAACTGCCATACACCCAACCTCATGTTGATCCAAACCACTATGACTGATTTTTTTACTACCAAACTCCAAAAAGGAAACAATCACTTGAAGTTATAATGAAGGTATAGTGTGTATGACTTGTGCCTCTATATTCCAAGTCATCTGAGGCTATACGGTGAAATTTAAGTAATTTCAAAATCAAGTCAGGTCACCTTTATTTCTATAGCGCTTTATACAGTACAGATCATTTCAAAGCAGGTTCACAGAGATAAACAGGAAAATAACGATCAATGATGCAAACAGAATTCTATTCTAATGTAAAGCAGCTCTAAAGAGACAATATTCAGCTAAAATCAGTTCAATGTTGATTCAGTTTGGTTCAATAACTGTAAAGTTCATCGATAATGAAATTAGTTAAATTCAGCTCTAACGCAGCTCTGTAGAAAACATTATCACTCAGCTCAGTTCGGTTCTCATCCAATAGTGTCAGTGCAGTCAAATCAATAATATTGTTGAATATTAAGTAATAAGCAATCGTGTAATAAGCAGAATAATGTACAGACTGCAATATGAAGGATTCAGGGCGATAAAAGAGTTTTAAACTAAATGAAACTAGTTTAAAAGTTAATCATCAATTTTTTGTGGGGATGCACATTGATATGAAAATTTTGGCAGATACCGATAAATCTTTATATTTGAAAGCCGATAACCGATTTATTGGCCGATAAACCTAAATGAAAAATTGTATATAATTTTAGAGAGCTTTTTTTTTAAAAATCCATCATGTTGAACAGTGCGCATCTGAAGCGTCTCAGCTGAAGGGAATAACACATTATTTATCGGCTTTAATATATCGGCAAAATTTTGTTATCGGGCCGATAACGATAACATTAAAAATGAACATATATCGGCCGATACCGATATGGTGGCCGATATATCGTGCATCCCGAATTTTTTGTGATTGTTTATAACTTTAAGTCAGTAACATCTTTATGTTGTGTTAGATTGGCCTAAGTCTTAACATAATGCCTGTGTTTATGAAACTGGCGCCTGATCTTGATCACCCTTATTTTCCAGTCATGACCGACAGAAGGGCAAGTATGACCGCTTTCATTTTTGGATGAACTATTGCTTTAAGATGAAAAATAAACTGATTCACTGTGAC